TCACCTTAATATGATTAGAGTAGACTGGAGATTCTATAAAATCTTAAAAGAAGATCCTTGACTCGTTTTCCTTTCCTTTAAAACAAAAACCTTTAAAACTGAGACCGATATTCCAGTATTCCTTCGAGACCAAGGAACAGAGGAAGACCAAGGGCTCTGATACCAAAATGTAACACCCTAACCCGACCAGGTACTACTTTTACTAAAATGCCCTTGATAAATAAAATACTCAAATCTTAAATTGCAGCGGGAAGATTTTCATAAATAAAATACTGAAAACACACACTTGTAGCTCAGAGCAAAGCCCTAACACGTGGGCAAACTCAACTCAAACTTTAAAATCTCAATTTGATCTCCAGTCTATACTCATAATCATAAATGTAAATAACTAATAATCTCTAATGTTGTTGCTACTGAAAACTTGACTAAGCATCCTATGTGACGCTTATACTGCTCTCCTCTAGCTGGCGGCCCTCGAACTCGCTGCTCACTAACTGCTCCTCTAGCTCTCTTCAAACTGGTGAGTGAGATGGGTTCAATCTACGCCCTTACGTTTAAACTTCTATTGCTTAGCATTTTACTTAAAATACTTACTTAAATTGGTGGAAGTTGTTTGTACTTCCAAGTTCCACCTTTAAAACTGTATGGGAGTTACTGTTACTCTCCCTTCTGAAAGTTTAAATCTCAACTTAAATACTTGACTGACACGGGAATCCCTCACTAACTAGTCCGGTTGCCAACTCATACGTATGAGAAGCCATCCAGGCTTTCCTTAAACTTAAACTTAGTTAGGGAAGTCGTAACGATTCATCCCCCTAACATCTTAAACTTATCATGGTGGCTCTTCACCACGATTCTCAAGAGCATAACTGCTGCTCATCTTAAAAGTCTCAAGAGCATAACTGGTGCTCTATCTCAAAATGTCTCAAAAGGCAACGGACTGGCGCTAGTGACTAAAAACACTTAAAACAACTTCACCTTCTTGAAGGTGAGTTACTTCTTAAAAATAACTTGTTTCTTAACTTTAACAATCACTCATAATTAATGTAAAGCTTAAGGTAAATAACACACATTCACTTCAAATTATAGCTCAAACAAAGCACATATAATCAACCATACACACAATCAAGCAACGGTAACCACCTCGCTAAAATACTTAAAAATCATAATACTTAAAAGAATTCGTAAGGCGTAGAATTTACCCACTTTACATTCACCTTACTTCCGTCCGAACTGGCTCTTATTTTGCTCCAAAGTTTCCATACTCGCTTCCAACCCTATTACACTCGTACTTGTTGAATAAAAAAAAAAGGAGCAGCTTGCCCCTATTTGATCTCCCTTATCCATGGTGCCGCTTTTGCCTGAAGCCCACTCGTGCTCTGAAGTTGTTATTTTGGTCTCCCTCAATCGGTAGAAAGCAAGGCGGAGGAGACACAGACGAATTTACCCTCGTTATTGATTCTAGGGTAAAGCCCAACAATGTCCATGTTATTGGGAGTCGCTTCGCCAGAGCGCGAGAAGCAGCGACAACAGTGTTGGGATTGTGGATTCTTTGCTCCTTGCACCAACGAGGTGAATGTCGTTCTGGTGGGTCTCGACAAAAGGCCGCCAATAACACCGACACCAACCTGGGGATCCGCACCGCTAACTTGACCGTCATCCCCAGCAGCGACTTTCGCGGACAATTCTACAGAGGTATGGGGTTCGTAGTTGTGGAATCGAAATTATATGCTTTTGGTGGTCATGAGGTTTGCGATCGAGAGAGAGAGAGAGAGAGAGAGAAGCAAGATGGGTGTTTTGCGGCTAGCGTTTGTGACGAGGGTTTCAGCATAAAAGAGAGCTGAGATTTATAGTGATGCTTTGTGTCTCCTCTCGTTGGGATTAGTTTTTAGGTTTAATATATAGATTAATTAGTAATAATAATAAAAAATTATTATTACTAATTCACGGTTGCAACCCTTCGTACGTAACCGTTACCCCAACCGTTCTCGTATTTTGGTCGAACCTGAACCCAAAGTCGGGGTGTTACATGCATGATAATTAAACTTTATGCATTCTTTTTAGTCTTCATCTCTGCAGACAATTGAGCAGCTCCTGCCTCCTAGTATTAGTAGGCAGGTAAAATACCTCGGTTACCACTAAAGTATGAGAAATGGGGGAGTCATACAAGAATAGGGCGTCGGGTACGGCACGGGATACGGTGACTACCCCTTAAGGGTTGTGAGATTCACAACCCACTTCATAGCCCTTGGATATGCTCTCTATCCTGTCTCTTTTTTCTTTTTTTAAATTAACGGTTAAGATTAAAGGAAGGGTATTTTTGGAAGGGTAAAAATTTACCACACCCAATTATTCACCCTACCATATAAAAGAAAAAAAACCCCTAACTCCTCCATCCTCCCTCTCTCTCTCCTCCCTCTCTCCCGTAGCCATCACCGTCTCTCCTCCCTCTCTCTCGCAGAGCCCTCCGCCGCCACAGCCCTCCACCGCCGGCGTCTGCGCTGTCTCCTGCAGCCGCCTGTCGAGCCTTCCACCGTCGTCGTCGCCACCATCCTCAGCCTCCCTCCACACCCTGTTGTTGCAAATCTCTCCTGCCGGCCCGTCGCAACGTTCGCCTCCCACCACCGCCGCACAATCATCCTCTCCCCGTCGGAGCCCTCTCGCCGCCCTTCGTCCCCCACCACTGTCGCCGTCCCGAGGTCACCCTCTTCCCCTACCTCTCTCTCCCGTCACCGACTCCCCTTTTCTAGATCTGGTTTTTTAGTGGTGCCATTTTTCTTCATGTAGCGTACCAGTAATAGTGGTACCTACCACTACCATAAGGTAGCTGGTAGTGGTAGCGTACCACTATCATCTGGTACCACTATCATCTGTTTTTTTGTGTTATTCTCTACTGGTACCGCTACCAATGCTAGTGGTAGCGCTACCAGTGCTAGTGGTACGATACAATATGGTAGTGGTAGCGTACCATTAGTACTGGTTAGGGCTGGAGATCGGTTCGGGTCCTAGTACCCGGACCCAAATACGCGGGTACCCGGACCCAAAAAATGTCAGTTTGAGGAACCAGACCCGACCCAGACTCGGTTCTTGGGTACCCGAGACCCAAAGTCACGGTTCTCGGGTATGGTTCGGTCACCCGAATACCCATAAGCCACCGAAGACAACCTGTTACAGCAGCTCTCTTCCTCCCACCTGCTCGTTCCATGCTTGCTGAAGGATGACAGAAGGTTGGTCGGCGATTTGTTGATTGTTGATGGATGATAGTCAGCGATTTGGTGAAGGATGATTGTAGGAAGGTTTTTGTCTGCGTCTCTGCGAGAGGGAAGTGGGGAGTGGCCGCTGGGAATGGGAAGGTCGAAGGGGAAGATGAAGCTTAGGGTTAGGGCGTTAGGCTGATGAAGGCTAATGAAGGTTGGGCTGTCGGGGTCGGGCTGAGGAGTGAGGGGGGGCCGAGGGCCTTAAGGCTGGGCTGGGCCGCTGGGCCATATAATATTTGGCCTGTGGGCTGGGGTTCGGTTCCACTTCGGGTCCTTCTATTTTCGGGTCCGGGTTCGGTTTACCCAAAACCCGAAAAATAGCCAGATGTGATACCGAGACCCATTTTTCACAATGATATTTCGGTTCTCGGGTACCCAAAACCCGGAATTTTTGGTCCGATTCCGGGTTACCCATAAACCCGAACCCGAACATCCAGCCCTAGTACTGGTACATTTTTTAACGCACTGGTAGTGTACCACTAGCACTGGTATATTAATTACCAGTAGACTAATGGATTAGAGGTGACAATTAGGATCCAAATCCATGAATCCAATCCATCTACCAAATTATCCACCTAATCCAATCCCTTTAAATCCAATCCATTTGATCCAAATCCAATTGGATTGGTGGATTCATGGATCAATCCATGGATCCAAATGACAAATTATAATTTGGTAGTTATATTTTACATTTTACATTTTGTTACCTAAAATTTATATTTTTATACCAAAAATAACATTGGAAAATTACATTTTGGTACCTAAATTTTTTTATCATGACATTTTAGTATCTAAACTTTTCAAAAATTACATTTTGGTCCAAGCCTTGGATGTCATTTGGTTTCTGGATCAATCCACCAATCCATTTGATCCAATCTATGAATCCACCAATCCATTTGATCCATTGATCCACCAATCCAATCCACAAATCCGATCCAATTGCCACCTCTAATAGAGGGGGTATGGAAGGTGGATTGGCACATACAGGAAGAGAGGGGGAGACGGACAGAGTGAATAGGAGAGCGGCGGCACCGAGGGTTCTTCCTTCGGGTATGGTTGTGCGATGTGGGGATTTATGGAACTTTTGTGCTTGTGCTGTTGTGCAAGAGTCGGAACCGCTGTTGCGCCAGACTATCGTGGAAGGGGAAGAGTCGTAGGAAAACGACCATTACCAAGAATCTGCTCTCGCCAGTCTTTCATAAGAGAAGATGAATTAATCCCATAAAATCTTTTTGTTATAAAAAATCAATATTTTTTAAAAAAATCATATTTTATTCCCTCCTAAGTCCTAATGCCAGACGGATGGAATTTTGAGATTAATGGTACCCGACACCGTATTAGTTGTTTAGTGATATGGTTTCCCATTTCTCATACTTTAATGATATCAGAGGTATTTTACCTACCAGTAGTCACAAATCTCTAGATGAGCGTTCTTACATGGTCAGGTCAGGTCTAATAGTTTGCATGACATAGTATTCACTAATTCCAGAACCAATCACCAAAAAAGGAGACAAAATTCAATAAACTGAGAAATTCCAAAGCTTTGGTTCATACCAATCGACAAAAGAAAACAGAGGCGTACACCTGATCAAATCAACAAGAACCAACATAGATTAAAAAAGAAACAAGGAGCGAAATATCCCAAAACTTTCATAGCCTGCACCGTCGATCATCCCATACAACGGGCAGAAATGCAAACCTTGTAACCAAGAACAAAAAATAAAAAAAAATAAAAAAAAAAATTGAAAACAGAAAGAACAGAAGCAAGAGGGAGAAAACAGAGTAGCACTCTGTTTTACTCCTCTGAAGAAAACACGACGGAAAATACATATTATGAAGAGACTAATAAAGCAAAATTGAATTCATAGTGCCAAATTCCGGTAATGGATAGCTGAATTTTGAGGGATCGAATCTCTCTGTGTGTGTTGTGTCTCTGATTTTCTCTAGAGACCCTGATCGACGAGGTAATCGCCGAGCCTCTCGACGACCATGTTGCACTGCCCCGGTGTCACCGGCTCCTCGTAGATCCCGACGACCAGAGCCTGGCCGGTCTTCTTGATGGTGATCCCGCCGGCGCCCTTCTTGCCGCGGATCACGGCCCCGGGCTCGCCCTGGATGACCATGTACTTGTTCCCGGCGATGTGGAGCCCCGTCGGAGCCAGGTGCCCGGGCTCGTCGAAATCCTTCATGATGTCGCTCACCTCCGAACCCTTGAACTGTAATTAAACCCGGCGCCGGCGAAATCCCAATCGATGAAACAAAGACGGTTGTTAATTGTGCAAAAAAAATCAGGACGATTAATATGGGGGTTAATGAATTGGTTTTAAGTGTTGGGTTACCTGAGGGAAGGCGGAGCTCTGGGCCCAGACGCTGCCGTCGTGGCCGACGATGGCGGCGGAGGCGAGGTGCTGGCCCTGCTGGCCTTCGATCTCGCACATCAAGTGCTCGTCGACGTAAGTCTGCCACGACATTTTCTCGCCTATTTTTATGGGTTGACTCCGGCTCACCGGCGCGTGCGAGCTTTTGCTTCTTTTCCGCGCGTGGGGATGTTTAATCGAGTGGAGTAATTTCGAGGGAGGTTTTAATTCGTAATTATTTGTTTTTACCGATTTTTCTTGTGTAACAATTTGGTTTTGTAGGGGGAAGTTAGGAGGTAGGTATTAATATTGTCGAATAAAATTGTGAATAAATAAATTTGGGATGGGTGGTGGGGGCCGATGGATGCGGAGAGAGAGGTTTGAATGGGCTGCGGACCATCCGTTTTTGCTTTGTTGTTTTTTATTTATTATTTTTGGGAAAGCCTTTCTTTTCGGTTTTACTATCATTTTTAGCTAAACGAATATTTTCACTCCACAAATGTCATTCCGGAATTCATGTTTGCTCCATTCGTGTTTTGCCATCATTACCGCTCTTGCCTACGACAATATGCATTAGGCTGGGATAGATCAGATCAGATCAGATCAGATCAGATGGTTAGAAAAATCTTGGACTAAACTGCCTAGGATAGATTGGTCCTCACTCCTGACTCCTGACCTTAGATCATTAAAAATGCTTTTGCCTAATCTATTGTTTATGTTGTGACATGTTTCTAGCCTGAAGCATATCATGATTTGTTGAATCAAATGGTATACCCAACTTATTTTTCAGTTCGCACTCGTCCCGCTCCCCAATAATACACAAGTCTCAACATTAATTCTGAAAATATCGTGCATTCTTGACTAATAATTTACACTCCCCAAAAAGTAGAGAAAGTAGCATCCCAAGATAAAATTATGTTAATGTTTTATGATATAAAGGTGGAAATTAGGTTAACTTGACTTTATATCTCTACCATTTCACTTGGATTTAAGCTATGGCCCAAATTATATTGGACCAGATCCCACATGCATATCTATTATCTAGTCTACATTGTACAATATTTGGTCTAAACGATAGTGTGCGCACCAATCTCTCAATTCGCACCATAACAATCAAACCACACCGTTAACGAGTCCTACTTTGCATCCCTATTCCCGTTGTCATTTCACTTACCCAGATTCTCAATAATTTAATTCGAAATGCTAATAAACAGGAATAAAGAGCAGAAAACCTCTACGATCAACAATTAAACAATGACAAAAGTGAGTGGGGGAAGGGAAAACTCAAAAGATGAACCAATATTACCTCTTATCACTAGTATGGATGCACAACTATGTCCGCTACGAACCAAACCAAATCAAATTGTGAAACTTATGAATTAATAGTAATAAAATTTTAAAATAAAAGATCGAATCATCAAAGTCCGATTTGGTTTGTTTAAATACCAATATGTCCTTTAACAAAAAAAATACCAACATGTCCCATTTTTCTCCGGTAATTATAGTGTTTATTAGACTGTATTCTATTTTGATATAGATACATCTACTACTTGTTGAAATCAACCACAACAATGGTACATTCATTACTACATTTAATGTGAGTTTTGAGGCTAAACCTATTTCTAAAATTGAATTGTTAGAGATCAAAGAGATATTTACATGTCGATCTCAGAAAATGTTTGTAACACCTTAGGCGAGTCCCACATCGACAAAACACGAAAGAGATCCATGGTTCATAAGTAAGAAATCGACCTTAACTGACAAGACGCATTTTGGTATGTAATAGAGAAGTTCTTGTGAGAACTCCGAAATTAAATGTGCTTAGTGTGGAGTACAACAAGGATGGGTGACCTTATGAGAAGTCACCTTGAATAAAGGCTCAAAGCGGACAATATCTTGTCGGGAAAAAGTTCGGGATGTTACAATCATTTTGAAGAGAAACTATTAGCTCAATACAACAGTAACACATTTCCAAATGTCTACAATCAGAGTGGTAATGCAGGCATTGAAAAGAAAGCCAATCTGCCAACAAATGTTAAACTACTTCATCCCTCTCTGTTTATACAAAGTATGGATTCAGGCCAGGTGGAAAAAAAACACAGACGATACATCAAAACGCCACCCAGCGCTAGTCGTGAAGGAACATAAACGAGCAGATTGATTCTCTTCAACACCAACAACCTCTACCCAGCATAACTCCTTTTTCAAGTCTCTCTATAACTTTCTTCCTTGGTTAGTTTCTGTATCAACATTCCGAACAAAATGGTGAGGAAAGATTCACCATGCCCACTAATCACTCAGTCTATAGGATCTTCCCCTGAAGGCTGTTCCTGTGCCAGGCTGCTGCTCAGGCTGCGCCGCCGCTCGGGAGTTCACTTGTGCTGGAGCTCCTATTCTATATCTTCTCACCAGCTTCTGTCTATAAACAGCTTAGGAAAAGTTATAGCATATAGCAGTCGATGTAGATTATTCAAACTATTGAGATGAGTTATTAGATATATATAATACAACTACGGAAGGAAGCAATGTAAAAGGATACACCCATCTAGGGGTCTTCAGATAGGTTCTCCCAGTTGAGAGTGGGTGCAACACCGTTAGGAAGTAGTACAAATGACCGGCGATGATCCCCAGAAGGTCGGGCAAAATTGGAGACCCGAAAATAACATCAAGGGCAAGCATGGTCCAGGGTAGATAAAATGCCTAAAGAGGAACAGAAACAAAAAACAGAACTTTGATTGATCTCTCGCATATAATAGGCAAGAGTCTACCAACTGAAAGATCAGCATCATAGATGCAAGAATAATAAAAGCCTTGCTACATGGAGGCACAATATTGGCAATTACCTTAAAGGTCACCAGGCCATACATGTTGATTTGAGCATTTGGGAACTCCCTACTCCAGACATAAAGCAGCATGAACACAAGTGAAATGCCCAAGAAAGGGTTCCACAGAAAAGGGATAGCAGACAGAACCTGTGATGCAGAGAAATGCTCGTTATCCCATGTATGATGGCTAACGAAGCTACGATTCATTTAAGAGCTGTTATTAACATTAGTAACCAAGAAAGCCACACATCGATAGGGAGAACTACAGTTCAGTGCCTAGAAGCCACAAGTCATAAAGTTCACAATACTTGCAACAAACAAGAGAATTTTGCTAACAGAGGTGCATTTCCAGACAACTCCATTACCACATTCTGCCAGTTCACAAGAACATTGTACTCAGCAACCATCGATACCCAGCTTAGAGTCTAAAACAGAAGAAAGAAAGAGGCACACAGTAAAATACCAGAAGCGTCAAGCCTCCAAAGATCATCATCCAGAGAAAATCAGCGGTACGCCTGTCAAATGTTGCCTGCTCCAGTTGAACACCATACCTTGCTCTGTAAAAGATTTGAAACACATCAGAACTAGGGAAAAGTTCTACTAGTACATAATACTCAGCCTACATGTTTAGCATCAGAGACCAGAGACCACAGCTAAAGCTCCATGAAAGTTAGAATCTCTGGAGCATAAACCAAAACTAAAAAGGAAACCCATCTTTCAGAACGATCACTCACATCATCAAGAGGCGAATACCAAAATTGATGGAGAATTTCCCAAGGAAGAAGAAGCTAGTAAAAAGCCTCCACACCTAGAAAAGGGAAACAGACAGCCACAATCAGAAGGGAGTCTTACAGCCAAGCTTCAATTGAAAAACGGAGATGCTAAACAATACCTACCTGTAACCGGTAGAACACGTCTTCATATATCAATGCTATATACGCCGGATGAAGCAGCTGGAGCGAACAGACTGTAGTAACCGCCAGGCACGCGGTGCCATAAGCCCTGATGATCGGTGGAAGGGAAAGGTAGTACCTGAAACCTCAAAGAAAAGCCATGCGTGAGCCACAAAATGCTTACACCGATCAAGCAAGGGAATCGAAACCCCGCTCTACCAAACTAATTATACTTTCTTAAATCTTCTACCAGACACAACTCTTCTCAGAAGAAATTCACTTCCGAAATTAGGGCAAGCCATCGCATTCAGGATACGAATTTCTCTCTGAATTCGGGAAAAGGCATATAGATTCAAGCGGAGCGAAGGGAATCAGGCGGAGAAAAACGAAATAGGAGGAAAGAGACATGGAGCTTACTCGCCCGGAGACGACATTGGACGTCGGCGGCGGTGGAGGAGGAAATTTCAGTACGAACTCGGAAGAGCGGTGGGAAACGGCGTCAATGATGTGAATCGGAATTAGCGATTCTTCTTTAAAACTTGGAATCTTGTTGGGGAAGAAAATCGATGAGGCGACATATACTAGCTAGCATTTCTTGTGGATTCCTATTTTTCCACTGTTCGAGAACGATCCAGAAGTTTATTAAAGACTTTCGGCCCAACCCAATAATTGAAACAGGGGAGGAAAATGGGACAGCTAGGTCTCGTTGTATCAGTAGAAGGTCTGTTCAGCCAATGATCCTTCTGAGCTCTGGGCCTCTGGCCCAGTGAAATTGGAACAAGACGAGTGTCTTGAAAGGCAAGTGTCCAGTTCTTTTTTTTCCTCCCTTTTATCATAAAATATCCTTTCAAATTTAGGTGTGATTTATTATGGGGATTGTTAATTCTCGCCCTAGCTCTATAGTAATGGCCCTAACTTGAAACTAGAAATGACCTCTTTATCCTTTTTTAATTTAAATTTTTTGGTTGTTCATCGCCCTAGTTTTACTGCGTCTTTTGGCTCTTCACTCTTCAGTATCTTTTTTTTTCTTGGACGAGGTTGAAACGGAAGAGTTCAGAATCCGTCAACGAGAGAAGGCGAATGGGACTCCATGATTTGGGTGTTCGTTCCGGAACAAGAATTAGAGAGGTGATTAAAATAGACCGAATGGTTAGAACAAATAAACTTTGGAGTTACCACCTTACGGTCCCCTGAGCAAAAGTCGCTCTTTTCGCCGGACTCCAAGCAGAACCATTAGAAATTTAGAATCACAAAAGCCAGATATACTCCTTTCCGGTCAATGAAATGACGTCAATTCCATCCATAGTAATCACCGGAGGGTTCATGTTATCAATTGGGATCGTTTGATCTGTAGTCTATTTGTAGACTATAAATAACCCTGAATCAAATGGAGGGTTTATTTTAACGATTGTGGAATGCCCTTTTTGATTGTAGACTTGCGAATGGATAATTTGGCATGTTTGAACGAGGTTTGACTGGGTGGTTGAGTGATTGATGGTCCAAAGGAGCTAAAACTTGGGTTTCCCCTGTTTCTGATTTGATGGCTTCCACTTTCTGCAGAACTGAAGAGGCCGATTAATATTTCTTTGATGATGAATTGATATGTAAGATGCCAATTGATTGAGAGTTTGGAGTTTGTACAATGGGTGTCAATGACTATGGCTTCCACCATCAACCTCACCATTCCATTCTCGATTGATTTCACTGACCTAGTTCTTCTCCGCTAACAGACCAGTCCGACGGCGGCGGGATGGAGGATGGGTGTTTTGAGCGGTCGACGCCGAAGTGATTTCTGTTTTCGATGTCAATGGTGGTTTTTGGAGTGCACGTAGTAGGGCCACGCCCGAAGAAATTCTATTAGTTAATTAAGGTTAATTTAGTAATTTTATGTTTTATTTTATGGCGATTATAGTAAAACTAGGGCGATGTTTAGCCATTCAGTTTATTATACATATAACTAGATTGTACTCCGGCCTGTTGACCGGTTGCAATATATGATGACTATAACTAACAAAGTTTCGAAGTTTAAATTTCAGTAACTCTCCTTTTCTCTTATATTTCTGCCACGATTATATGCAAATTAACAAATAACGATATCAATTTTACCAAATAGCAAGCTAATTTCTTAATTTTTACCGTTAAGAAATTCAAATTATTCAATTCCTGGAAAACAGAAAATGTACATACAGCATAAAAATTAATTACATTGTAATCAGAGCCATCTTTGTTAATTTTTATCCAAAATAAGCTTATAGGTGTTCAAAATAATCAGTATCACCTATTAACCATCAACTCCACTATATTCATTATCCACAGGTGCTTCACAGCAAAAGAATTTTCCTTATTATAGTTGCAAATGTTGTTGGAGATTCAATTTTTTTTTATAAGGGTGATATAGATTTTATTTTGTGATTAAGGTACTACTTAAGAGATTCGAATCTGGGACCTCTAGGTTCTAGGCTAGTGGTATTACCACTAGGCCAAGCCCTTGTACGTAAATTTAGTGTGTCTGCCGGTTGGAGATTCATTTTTTTCCATCAATGATTATGTTCAAAATTGTTAGTTTAATTATAGTGTGGAAATTCAACTTCATTTTTTCTTCTTCCTTAAAAAAAAAAAAACTTCATTCCTTCATTTAATAAGACATGAGGGAGAGAAGGTATCATTCTTCAACTATTTTTAATAGTTTTTCAACAATGATTTGTCACATGCTACGACATCCACAGATGATTTGAACTTCAAAAACAGGTTTTTTAATCTATAATTGTTTGTTGTCTAAGTAACTTGAAATTCTCAAAAGTGTAAACATATTTATTCACTTGTGCAATCCGAAACCCCTAGAGCCTCAAGCTTTGCAGAGATATAAGGTGCCATTCTTGGATTCCATTTTCTAGTACCATGACCAAAATGAACTCCCGCTCCGAGCATCTCTTCTAAATTAATGTTCCAATATCTTCTTATCATCCCCTATAAATGTTTTTAAAATTATTAGGCAATTATCATTTTTTTCAAACAATTATCATTCTTTGAGAAGAAAACAATAATATTATAAATTAAATTTTAGACCAAATGCTTTTAAACTTGAGCTAAACATATAGTTTGATCTCCGAGTGAAAAATGATCATATTCTTTAATTGTTAAATCGGAAACCATATGAAACTTCATTTTTTTAATGTATTAAATGCATTTGAAATTCTCATTTATATAGTATCATAGAATTATCTCTTTATTTTTTATTATTTATACTTTGTGTATAAACTCGTTTTATACAAAGTAAACTAATGATGCATTAATTTATGTTGATTTATTACCTGTTAAATGCATTTTAAACTCTCATTTACGTAGAATGATAGAATTGTTCCTATATTTTTCTATTTATTTATACTTTATGTATAAACACATTTAAGACGAAGTAAAGTAATGATGCATTAATTTATATTGATTTGTAATTATGAGTTTCTATAATTTAGTGGGTTGTGAAAAAGGAAACGACAAGCCCAAGTGATATGGCACTTGTGAGTTACCCACAGGCCACAATAGCCCATCCACCGAAAGTTAATAAGACGAAAAAAGACTCATATCTCCTTCCTTGCTTTGCGGGGAGTCCAAGAAAATTTGATTAAATAGGTGTCGAGCAAGAATATGCTTATATGTATGGCAGGCTATCGATAATTATTAGTGTGATTGATAATTTGCTATACGTGATTAGATGACAACTCCAATACGTATTGCCAATGATTTAAATTTTGTGAGACCATATGAATGTGAAAAACTCAACAAGGTATGAAATTTGTGTGAAACTTGGAATACAAGTCATTAGTGACTTAGGAAAGTATTTGGGAGTCCCTGTTCTGCATGGTAGGTTTACTAGAAACACGTGTAAGTACATTTTTTACAAGATGGACCAAAAATTGATAGCCTGGAAAGCAAGGACCCTCTCCCTTGCAGTCAGAGTCACTCTGGCGAGTGCTGTCCCGAATGTCATATCAACCTATGCTATGCAAACCCCATTTCTCCCTATGTCTGTGATATGATCGATAAGAAGATTATAGGATTTGTCTGGGGATCGCAGGAGGGTAAAAGAGTGAAGAATTTGATGACGCGGAATTGAAAGAACACAGGAGATAAGAGATTTTACGTGGTATCCTTGATCGATTGATTGATCGAGACTGATCGACGCTGAGCTCGAAAGAGCTCACAGCTGGCATTTTATTATTTGAGTACTACATTGTGACTAGGGTTGGTAATCCGGTCCCAATTTTCTGGTTAAACAAGAAACCGGGCAGTTAAAACCGTCCTGATTGTAACCGAAAACCGGATTCCATTTAGCCCAATCCAATTAGCGATTGCAAACTTCACACAAAAAACCGGCCCAGTCCAATCCGATTAAAACCGGGTAAAACTGGGAAACCGGATAAAAAATACACCCAGCCCACCCCATCCCCCTGCCAGCCAAGCCCACACTATTCCCCAGCCCACTCCCTAGCCAAACCTGCCCCATCCAATCCCGCAGCACATCCCAGCCCACCTCTTAGCCCCACTCTCATCCCCAAATCCTAAACGACTTTTACCTCTACTCTGTTATCTCCCTCTCTAACCCTCAACTCTTTCTCTGTTCACTCTTCACACACACACGAAGAGGAGAAGAAAAAGAAGAAAAGAATCCAAGCTGCTCCCGCCGGTCAATCGCCTCCCTCCATCGCATCCCGTGACTCCTGTCGGTGGCCATCCGAGAGCCACTCCGCCACAAGAACTCACCAATCGCCTCCCTCCATCGTCCATCTCGTCGATCTGACTTCTCTTGTGCTGTCAGCGACCAGTCAGCGGGATGTGCATGTCGCATTGACTCCCGTCGGCGACCAATCGAGAGCCAACCATCGCCACTCTTCCACAGGAACTCATCAATCGCCACCATCATCTGCTTCAAATCTCATCCTATGGCGGCAACGACGACTCTCGTCTTTTTGTCTCTAGAAGAATCGGGAACAGAGGAGAGGGAGGAAGTGATCGGTGATGTAGGTTGAGAAGATGGATGGAAGGTGGGCGGCGAATCGACGATGAAGTGAGGAAGACGAAGAGAGAATTGGAACAGATAAGGAAGAAAAAGAAAGGAAATTCACCAAGGAGGAGAGAGAATGGTCTGGAAGAATCCTGGGAGTGGGAGGGATTAGGGTGTGATTTTTATTTGTTTTTTGTTTCATTGTAATTTTTTGAAACAACATCGTAAGACCATCTCCATCCCTACAATAGGTTAGCCATTTCATAAATGGACCCCACATCCACATCACCAACTTTAGCAACTATTCAATTCAATCATTTCAAATCATCTACATCCCTGCAATAGGTTAATAATTGCAATTGATGGGACCTACTACATATTCTTTTCCTTAACAATACATTTGCATAATAGATAATAGACTTTTGAAAATTCAATAAATACAAAATACATAGCATACACCAAATAGAAATACGTAATGAAATACAAAAATGCAAAACAAAATACAAAAATTCAAAATGAAAGTAAAAAATATACTAGACTACTCGTCATCTTCCTCTCCTCCAAATCGATTCCAAATCTCTTCAACTATACATCTTTGTATTAATTATTCATGTTCAATATAATTAAAATATAATTTTATGATTTTAATTTATTAACAACTAAAGCTAACAAGGGAAAATAAAGCTAACAACAAACGAGAAAAAAAAATGCGGAACGCTCTGTCCTCTCTCTTCGTTCTGGGAAGTTGGCTTGGCCGCTTACTACTCCGGATAGCGGTGGCTGTCCTCCGAGCTAGCTTGCTAAATCAGCAGACAAATCATCAACCGCGAGATTAGTTTGGCGTTCAAAGCGACGTAGGGAACCACAAAATACAGTCACGATGGGTGGCTCGTCGGTGTTCCCGTCAGCCCCTCCCGGGAAGGGATTGGGCGTTTGTGCGGCGACGTGCAACGATGCGGCGTAAGGTGCGAAAACGAAAATAAAGGGGGGAGGAGGACGAAAGGTCCAGTATCCCCAAGAAAGCTCGTGTTTATAAACTAAAAGCATGGAGATTTTCCTTGCCGTCATCGCCTGAAGTGGAAGATGATGTGTATCCAGCCCTTAGTGCGTCCGAGTGTGGCATAAAACGGCCAGCTGGGACATTGACGGCCCCTGACATGGGGGGAAAACCAGGGTTGGTAGAGCCGGAATTGGGCGAAGATGCCGTCGGCGATAAGCCACGGGACCGGCAAACGGATAACACGGCTGTTCCGAGCATAATCCTTAATACGCGTCCGGATCCCATAATGTTCGGTGAAAAAGGGGCTAATAATCCCGTAAGTTTGGGAGTGAATGATTCCCTTGTTATACAGGATAATGGCCGGAACTTAAAGGAAAATAGAAAATATTTTCAAATCCAGTCTCCTAACTCAGCTCTAAGTCTTCCAGGGCTGGGAATTTCCAGTACGTGGGTTGGGATGGTGCGGTTAAAGTCCCCCTATAAAAGAATAGTCAGGCAGAGACCCTCCTACCAAGGAAGACGTGCGATTGCCAGGTATGGGTCTGACTTGTGCCTTCCCCCTCTTTGAGCCTTCTTGCTTGCGTCATTGCCCTGGAAAACCGATCCAGGTTGATGATACGGTGGATGCTGCTTCTCCGATTATCATCGGAACAGGTTGTGAGGAGGTATTAACATGTACCAATCTTCCAACTGTGATGCAGGCTGCGGAGATGGCTCATATCACGGAGGATCAAGTCGTTCAGTTCTCTCTTGAGGACGTTGAGTCGGTGCGGTTTCGATCCTCTCGCACCCTGCTGGGGAGAGTGTTCATGGAAGCTGCCATGACAATTTCGGAGCTACGTGAAATGGTGAACTCGCACTGGCAGGGAAGAGGACAGGTTCGAGTCGTTCAAGCAAAACATGGCTTGTTCGAGTTTGTTCTGCCGAGCACGGAATCTAAAATTTGGGTGCTAAAGCGAACCCCATGGGTTGTGCGCGATAATCTCATAAACCTGCGATCCTGGACTCCATCAGTCACTAAAACGACTTTCGATGAGCTGGCAGTCGCACCTTTCTGTATCCAATTATGGGGGATCAAGGAAGATTGTTGCACTAGACAGTTTGGGCAAAAACTGATTGCTCCAACCATTGGACAGGTGCTGGAAACTGGGGTTTTTGCCAGTAAAGAGACAGGAGAATATTTTGTGAAGGTACGCGCTATGGTGGACTTTGCTAAGACGCTGAGATCGCAGCTCTATGCGGTGAATGAGGAGCTTGGAGGATTCTGGGTATCGCTCAAATACGAGTTCTTGCCTAGCTTCTGCTTCCATTGCGGAAGAGTGGGTCATATGCAACGTGAGTGTGTATATGATCCCCCGAACAGAAAGGAAAAGTTTGGGCCCCATATGATCTCAAAAAAACCAGGGCGGCGAATTTTTGAAGTGGAGGAACCTGCTCGGACATTTGATGGCGTCCCAAAGACAGTCTGGGTGAATAAGGCAGTGCGCGGGGGGTCAGGAGCTCAAGGTGCGTTGCCTGATGCAACTCCAAATCAAGGGGAGGAAAGGTTGGGAGAAGACCGGCAGAAACAGGCCAGGCGAATGGATCGGGGAATGGCTGGGTTAGCAGCACCGACGGCCGCTGCGAACCACAAACTAATTGGGCGAAGGAGCCCCCGTGGCTTTCTCGTGGCAAAATCACAGCGATTAAGGGCTGGGAAGGGTAACCGGCGTGAGACGAGTGCCCAACCAGCTCGTCAGGTGCGAGGAGAGGCCGGCCGAGATCGTGTGGCTGCACCTCGTGACGGGAAGAAGAGCCGAGCGGGGATGTTGGAGGGGGAAACTCACCTTAGGGTGATGAAGGAGGTTGTGTCTGATACAAGGAGGCGAAGGTTGTTACTTGAGGATGACTCTGATGATGACTTTGTTTTTCAAAACATGGCTGATCAAAGAGATAATAATGCGGCCGTGGTGGAGGAAAGGTTGGGAG